TCAAATTGATTCGATCAAATATTTGAGTTCAATTCAATTCAATTAATTCAATTCAATTCAATTTGAAAAAATCAAATCAAATTTAAATTGCTTAAAATTTGATTTGATTTGATTTTAAGGAATCCTAATTATATGTATTATATTAATGAATACCATTTAATATTGCCTAAAGTATCCCCTTTTGAGCATATCCCATTTTAAAAGGTCTGGATATTTTACTGGATAATAAAAATTTTTCCTATTTTAAGATCTGGGTATTATTCAATTTTAATTATGTGAGTTTTGAATAAGATCCAGATATTTTACATAAAGTTTTTAAGTTTTAAAATTTAGATCACAAAATTTAATAAATTAATAAATTAATAAATTTTACAATAAATAATATATTCTTGAATAATATTTTTATTTATTTATAATTTGATAATACATAATTATTGAATAAATGCTATAGAATTATAAATTCTATCAATTCCAGTTTTGGATTATATTGCAATTTTCATTTCTTTATAAATAATTTCTTCATTTTCATTATTCTCACCATCCGATTCACTTCTATTACTATCATCTTCAAATTCACTTTTATTATTACCTTCATCTTTTTCAATTCCTTTTCTTTAATTATTTATTTTTTCTACTTTATTAAAATTAAAAATTAGATTATTTTCTTTCCTATCTAAGGAATTTAATATGTCACAACATTTAAATGAACATCTAATCATATCAGAATCAATTGAATTCCAACTTTGTTTTATTTTGAGTTAGATGATCATTTGATCTTTTTAAATAGTATAGAATCTATTCATCCAGTTATTATAAAGATGTTGCACCTATTTTACTTAATGTTAAGTTAATTTATTTTAATTAAATAACAATCAAATAAAATAATTACCTTAGATTTAAAAGATTTATTTAATGATACATCAAGTGGTTGTAAACGAGAAGTTAATCCACCTGGAATAATAGCTAGATCTTTATTTTTTTGTTAAACCAATTTTTTACAGCATCAGTTTTATGAGTTGTAAAGGAGTCAAATACTAAAAGAGATTTTGGGTTTATGCCTCATCCTGCATATTGCCTCTAAATGTTTTCTATCTACCAAATCATTTTATTTTCATTCATCTAACCTATTTTGTTAACACGAATAATTACACTATCAGGAAACTTATGAAATATTTACGAGTTTAAAATAATTACAGGAGGTAATTTTGTTCTATCTGCTATACAAGTTAGAATAACAGTAAAATTAGAATGTTCATAACCAGTTGTTAAAATTAATACAGTTCTAATATCACATTACTTTACTATTGTATTATTTGGTAAATTAAAAGCAATTGGTGTTTTATCCATATTTGCTATTAAAGATAATGGGTATTGGTATTCTTTTTGATAAAATAAAACATAAAATAAAAACTGACTTTGTAATTTAATATAATTTTCTGAAAACTTCTGAGTAATTATTATTTTTTTTATTAACTAATTTATGATAGGTTATAAAGCCATTAACCTATTTTTGCGAAAATTTTGTATCTTTTATATCTGAAAATTCCACTTGATAAATTTGTTTTTTAGTTAAAGAACATGCTTTTGTCTAAATCATATAACATAAACAACTTTTAATTAGCTTCAAAATTCTCTAAAATATTCTAAAAGTTCAACTTCAAGATGGGAATATTTTGGCTGCGTATCATTATTAAGCTTTTAATTATAAGAAGTCATTTGTATAAGCTATTTTTTATTTTTTATTCACTTACAAAGTTATTTTGGTTCAATTTCAAATTTATCTACTGTTAACCATTTACTTTGATTATTTTTATAATATGCAATTATCATTAGTTTTTCTTATGCTATCTATTGTCTTCTCTATTTTATTATAACTCTAGTACAATGAATTTGAAGATTTTCATGAATCATGTTATTAGTACTAAAATAAATAAAATTTTTAGTATTTATCAATATAATTTTAAATAAATTTAATAAAATATATTTAATACCTTAAAGTTTTAAAGGTGAAGTACAAAAAAAATTTGAAAGAAAAATGTGAAAAAGAAACGTGAAATGTGAAATAAAATATAAAGAATAATATTTTTAATTATATTTTTTCCTTCTCAAAAAATGCAGTTTATTTCTATAATTATTAAATCAGTATTAATGAAGTGTAAAAAAGAAAATTTAACTATTTTTAAATTCTCTGAATACAATAGATTATATATTATAATTTTCCTAAAAAAATAAAAAACTGCAAAAATAATATTATTTTTAAAAAATCCTTCTTATTTTATATCTATTGAATATAAAATACCTAACTATTCTGAATATAATATATATTTTCTGAATATGAAAGGTTTTTCTGAATATATAAAATTAGTTAAAAAAATTTTAAAAATTATAACAGCAGTCATTTTATTATATATCATATTTCAAGATGGTCTGTATAACATATACAGTATATTAAAAAAGTCATTTTAAGTTAAATCAGAATAATTAAATCAGTATTTATTGATTATCAAAGTTAATATTTATTTTGTGACATATTATTATATTATCAATTAACTATTATATAGTAATACTTTCAATAGTATACTATGTTTCAGTCCTAAGCTCAAAATTTAGAGTTAAATGCATTCCCTCTATATTTTGCACATGTAAGCAATTTTAAGTCCTAGATATATTAGAATTAATTAATCATTGATAAATTTCTATAGAATTAAATAGTGTTGTATCCCAGATTAACTAGTGTTGAATCAGTGGTGATTATGCATTGATTCTTATAATTTGAAATTTAAAATTGTGAAAATCGTAAAATTTGAAATTACAAAAATTACAAAATTTTTGAAATATTAAATTATTTGCAAATTTGTTTAATGCTAATGTGTTTCAATACGATTTTATAAAAAAAAAGTTTTTATCATGATTTTGTTTTTCTAATTATCAAATATTCTCTATATTTTCTTAATTTCTAAAAATACCTAATACTATTGAATGGTCTAAAGAAGAAATGCAACTTTTAATTGATTTAAGAAGAGATAAAATGAAGATTATTGAAAAAGGTTCAGTAGGTTGAAGTTATCTTTTTAAAACAAAATTGTGGTGTAAATCGAAGTAAATTTAGAAACAGTTTTTACTAGTGTGTAAGTTAAGGATAAGTTTAAAGGAATAATCAAGGATTGTAAAGTAAGCATATAAAAAAAGGAAATTAATTATATTTATAAATTATTAATTTTAATTTTTTAATTATTTTAACAGTATGCTAAAAGGAAATTTGGTAGAAGATGAACACATGTAAGAAAAGTATTTGGTGAGCAATTTGAACATAAATATTGAAAGAGACCCAGTTAACATAGTAAACTTTTTAATTTATATTGATAAAAGAAAACCATTATTAAATTAAATATTTTTATTTTTTTTAGCATCTCGTGTAAAAGGAAGAAGGCGAGATTTATTAAGAAATCAAGGTAAAAAATTTATTTGATTATATAGTTTTAATCTATACTTAATTATTTACATTATATATTTTAGAATCATCAACTCCTAATCATTCTCCTAACCATCCTTTTCCTTCACATCACTCTCAATTTCCCGCTAATTTCAACCAATCCGATTCTAACACCCCTCTATTACATCCTGACCACAATAATCTCTTCATCCAACTATTGTCTTTTCTTTCTTTATCCATTATATTATCTTAATTTCACTTTTTTTGTAATTTTTTCCAAATGAAAAAAAAAACCTGAACAAAGCTTGCCACCTCTACGCAGTGTTGTCATGGGACATAGTTAGGACACTGATGGGACACTGATGGGACATTGATGGGACAGATGGGACATTTGGGACATATATGAGACATAGTTGGGACATATAGTTGGGACATATAGCTGGGACAGCAAATACTTGGGACATAGAAAATGGACATCACTGCCTCTACGTGGTGTTCAGGATCAACAGTTATAGGTTAAACTATATCTGGTCAAGAGCAAGCATATATCATAATAAACTTTAAAAAAGAAATCAACCTTAAATAGAAATATCAATCACGGTCAAAACCGCCTTGGGTCAAACCAGCAGTTTCAACTATATGAGTCACATGCACTTATGGAGGTGTTACCGTGCTGTGATTTGGTGCAATCATTATAAAGTTATTAATTGTCTTGTATCGTCAACATACAAGCATTCTATATATAATATTTATATTCCTGTTACAAAATATCCCTGTAATATAATACCCCCAGTTTATAATATCCTACAGGCAGTTATGTGTACTTGGAAGATTGGAAGCACCTTTGGAAGGTTTGGAAGCATAATTTACTAATAAAATCATTTGGATTGGAAGCTTCCGATTAAATTTTTTACTATTGGAAGCATAAAATGCACATCACTGCCCACGGATACTATTCAATTTTTAAATCGGATAAATTATAAAAGACCCGGGGTACTTTAGGCAGTGCTAGACGGTAATAAAATAAAATTTTATTAGAACAAACTTTTTTCCGTCGATTTTCTAATTTTTAAGTGCCCGGTGACTTTTGATACTCCACTGTACTTTAATGTAACAGTTTTTGTGATCTTCTCTGTAGATAAAAGAGGTATTGTTACTGGAATCGTGATGGTCTGTGTTATCATCATAAGTACTAGTATCATTAAAGTTAACTATTTTATCAACTATTCAAAAATAGCAATGAAGACTTGTAGTTGGTCAGGTGATATGGATTTTTGGAGGAGAAAAGGAAGGTGATGAAGAGTTGGGATGGTTATTTGTCGGTTCTAGTCATTCTAGTTTTTTTTAATTAGTTAATTGACCACGTGACGGACCGACATCCGTATATGATCGGATCGTTAATACATCTACTTGTAGGTAGATTATTGGTCAATTAGAAAATTTTTTCTTAATAAAATAACGATAAACCATTTACTGTAAATTTTCGATATTGATTTTAAACTTTAGAACCTTTTGTTCTTTTTTTCAATAAATTATTTATTTATTTATTTATTTTTGAACGAAAATCATGCCTTCTTCTGCTGTACAAGAAAACATTAATGATAAAAATGATACTACAAAGTATATTAAGCGACCACAAAAACCTGATGATGAAAGTTTTAAATTGGCTTTAGAAGAGGTTAAGAATAAAATTGATAAATTACAAGAGGAATTGGTAAGTTATATATCCATATTTAAAAAAAATTCTTATTACTCAATTTATTCTCTTGAATAATTAAATTATTTATGCCTTAAATAAATATTTACAATTTTTTTTATATCGCAATTTTTTCATTTTATTATAATTATTTCCTTAAATAAAAACATTTAGGAATCCGTTAATGCTAAAATTAATGCATTTGATAAAGGTCCTGTTGGAAATAAACGTGACGAACTTAAAAGTCAATTAGATAGGCTTCGTGGTAAACAAGATGAAATCAAGAGAAGTAGATCAAGCACATTTGTACAAATCAGATCTCTAAGTGATTCCATACAAAAAAAGGTACACATATATTTATTGTTATTAAGGAAAAATAAAAATAATTTTTTTTTTCGAGGTATTCAACTTACAATTTTGTATTATTTTTTATAGAAACGTGATTTGAAACAAGGTAGAGATAAAGTTCAATATAGAACTGTGAAAGATATTGATAATGCCATCTCGTAAGTAGATTCACTTCCCTTTGTTGTTTTTTATTTTTTAAAAAAAAAAAGCATACGTATATATAATTGTTATTTATTGATTTATTTAGTAAAATGGAAAAATTAATTGAATCTGGTACTTTAAAAATTATTGAAGAAAAAAGAATTGTTGCAGATATATCAAATTTAGAAAGATCTAAAAAATCTGTAAAACAATTTGAAATTCAACAAAATGCAATTGATGAGGAACAAAAGCTAATTGATGAATTAAAGAAAACTCTTGAAGATAGTGAATTTAAAAAAATAAATGAGGAATATGATGATATTAAAGCACAACTTGAAATAATTAATAAAGATTTTGCTTCGGATAAAGAAAAACGTAATGATTTATATGATAAAAAAAATAAAATCCGTGAACAAATTAATGAACTAATTGCAAATAGACGTGAAATTCAAGAACAACATAAAGAAGCTAAATTTGAATTTTGGAAATACCAGGAGGATGAACAAAAACGTCGTCATGAATTAAGAAGGAAAATGGATGAAGAACGCGAAAAACAATACAAACAGGAAGTTGCCGATACAAAACGTGAAGAAGCTGCTATTCCTGCTTTTCAATCAGATATTGTTACTTGTGACAATTTAATTAATTACTTTCAATCTTTTAATGGAGGAAAATCATCTCAACCTCAACCACAAACTCCTAATACTATACCAGTTGATAGTAATATTCGTCAACCCGATGCTACTAGTAATGTTCCCGAAGGTGCTGTTCTTATGAAAAAATCCGATAGAGATGATGCTTATTTCACCGGAGGTGGCAAAAAACACAAAAAGTCTCCAAAGGAAAAGAAGGGCGGTAAAAGTAATTCTTTTCAACTTCCTATTAGCGTTATGGATCAGTTAATTTCTTTCAAAATTGCTACACCTCATAATTTTTCTGAAATAGAGCAAACTATTGAAGGTTTAATTAAAAAGAAAGAATATTTCATTGAAAATCAAGAGCGTACTACTAAGGAAAATATTGAAAAGGCTGAGGCTGAAATAGCTGCAATGGAGGGAAAAGGTCTTGGCTACAAGAAAAAGGGTAATAATTACAATAAACAAGATAAAGGCAATGATGATAACGAAGAGAAGGATAAATCCAATGATAAAGATGAAAATGATTCTGCTACAGTTACTACTAGTGAGGAAGAAAAGGTTAAAAATACTACTGCTATCATTGCTGAAAATGATGAGAAAAAAAATGTAATTACTGCCGCTGTTGGAGACACTAAAGAGGAAAAAACTGAATTAGAAACAACTAATTATTGAGAATATGGGGCAAATTTTGTCATATTGAACAATTAGACTTATTTATTTATTTATTTGAAAATTTATTTATTAGATACTGTTGTTAGTTTTGTATTAAAATAGATGTTTAACAAAGTAATTTTGTATCAGAATAATAATTTTTATTTTATTTTATTTTATAAAAAAAAGAAAAGTTATATATAATTCGTTGAAATAAATTTCTTTATAAGCCTTAAAAATCAACATTAATATATATATATAATAAATAATTCTATTAAAAAAACAAAACAAACAAAATTAATGATATACCATTTGTTACTAAATGATTGCATCTACAGTATTTATGGTGTCATATTAATGTGTGGCTGTACTAAAATTGCCTTCTGCATCTCTTTCAGATAACATTGCTTTCAAATCACTCAATCTGGCTTGTAATTTTGGTACTTCAATAAGTTTTTGCTCCAAATGTTGTTTCTCCTCTTGAAGCTTTAATCGACGTTCTGCATCTAATTTCGTAAACACATATCCTCCTTGTCCATCATACTAAATAAATAAATATATATATATATAAATATATTTTAATTATTATAAGCAAAAACGTTAAAAACTTACTTGTAAGATGAAATTATGATATTTCCATAACGATGGCCGATGAGATACAGTTAACAAAGAAATTCCCAGGTCTTTTTGTTACAAGGTGTGTTAAATTTTAAAGTTTTAGGTGATAATAATAATAACAACATTTAATTACCGGTGGCATGTGTATACATAATTTTTTCAATATCCAAGCCTACAGCACTAGTACCTACAAAATGTCAAATAAAATAAATAAATCAATCAAATATGAACAACATATATTCGAAACCAAATCAATCTTACATTCATCCAAAATTGCATATTTCGGTCGATGATAAAACAGTCTAGCCATTGCAATCTGTGACAATAAAAAGTCCATCATAATTATAAGTATTATTCGTATTAGAACTTTATAATATCTAAACTGTATGACACTAACTCTTTGTTTATCTCCCCCTGATAAAGCATCTTTCCATTCACGTTCCTTATCCCAACCTCCTTCGCGCTCAACAATATTATTTAGTTGAACAATGTTAAGGATTTCTTGTAAACTTTGATCATTGATACCTCCTATTCAGGAGAAAAGAAAGTTTTAGTTTTAGCATACATCAATATTTTTTTTAAAAGATTGGATATTGATTTACACTTACGCTCTGTCATTTCAGTAACGGTATGTGGATAAATAATTCTAAAAATTTTGCAAGTTTATTCAATTGTTTTAAAATATAAATATCATAATAATACATTCTATTTACACTTACTGGTCACGCAATGTGCCCAGTGATAAGTAAGGACGTTGGGGAATATAAAAAATATCTCTTGGATTTGGTCGATGAACAGTACCACCTAAAAGAAATTTCAATATTTATAATTAAAAGGTTAGATGGTGTCGGAGATTGTCAAGTATATGCTAGGTATTTATACTTACCGTAAACAGGCCAAAGACCACCTAAGATTCTAAATAAACTACTTTTTCCACATCCATTAGGTCCGACAATTAACAAGTGCATGCCTGATCTCACATAGAAATTCAATTTTTTTAATAAAACATCACCGTTCGGAGATACTATAGGCACATCAATAAATTCAATAGTTGCTGCATCTTCAATGACTTCTCCACGACCCGATAATACCGCAGCGTTTTCATCCGTTGAAGCTGAAGAAACAAGTTGTTTTTCATAACGACCTGCTTTTACAGCATCAAAGGTATCCAAAAGTTCAGATACCTTGAAGATAATAAACAGATGTAAATATGGTGTTCAAAATTTAAATAAAGAATAAAAAATAAAAATAAAAGTAAATTTACTCGGGCAGTGTAGCCAGCCAACTCGGTAATTTCCTTATAAGAATACATTATGCGCCCGAAAGCATCTGAAGAGCTTAACAACAATCTACGATTGGTGATAAATCCTAAATAATAAGGTTTTAATTGTTATTAATAATATTGTCTAAATGAGAATAAATATTAACAATATCATACCTTCTGCACGAGAACCAAGATCGCCTTTTTTTACTCCCGGCACCGTAAAGAACACAGGAACAGAGCAAAGTATTAAACCTAAAGCACCCCACAAATATTTAATAATAAAATCCTCCATCATACCGTGAAAAACACGCATGCGGAAAATTCTATTAACATGTTTAATCAATGCAAAATAATTGCGATCTAAAATAGCCTTTTCAACATCATGACCAGAATAAAGCGCGATTTCTTCTGCATTTTCAATTAAACGTGAATGTGTAAATCTAAATTCACCCTAATTTAAAATTGTAAAATATTATCGACATGGATTTTATTACCATATAAAATATAATAACATTAATTACCTCGAGCCTCTGTTCTTCAGCGACCATTTTTCCAAACGGTGGTGTTAATGCTCGCAATATTACGGATGATATATGAACCATCAATGATAATGCAAATAATCCCTCTCCTCCTACGTTCTTTGCCAATTGTATATTATAAATGAAAACATCCAAAATTGGTTTGGCAAGATTAGAATATAATTCGGAAAGAGAGTTGCAAAATTTCATTGTATCGACCGTAATACATCTTTAATTAAATAATCAGAAAAAAAATTACATAAATGTATGATTTTATTTAAATAAATAAATATATATATATATGAAATAAAACTTACTGGTCAGCATTTTTTATACGATCGTCTAAATTTCCAATAGCATAAAAAGTCATATCGGATAAATATTTTTGATGAATGTGTCGAGTAAGACGAGTTCGGAACTGTATAGCCAATTTACTTTGCATATATGTAAGCTAATAATTAATAAAGCAATCAGTTGTAATCTATAAAATGATGATGTAATAATAATAAAACAAAGAATATTCGTTCATATCGATGAACCTTTGAGTTACCATGCTGTTTGTATATGTTGCCGGTATAGCAACAATCATCCACCACACAATACCCGTTAAAAAGTCCTTTGCATTTCCTCGCACCTAATAATCATGAATATTTTATAACATATTCTTATCAATCATTAAGGTTGGCAAATTAATCGGTTTCTTACCAAGGCACTAACGATCCTTCCATCTAATGCAGCGACATATACTGACAATATAGTCCGGAAGACTGAATATATGAAATATATATAAGAATTATTATCTCACTTCAAATAAAACAGATACAATAATGATATATGATTTATATACCCAAAAACCCAGAATGGACAACCAATAGCCATAATTCTTTTGACCTTAGCCCAGGAATGACAATTTTAAGTATTTTTTTTAATCTATCAAAAAATATAGTATCCACCTTAAATATATTAATTTATTATCAGTATGTAAGATAAAAAATGTCAATTTGCATGATTTAAACTTCAATTTTCTAAAATTTCCACCTCCACTCTTTTTTTCTTCCTTGCCGTTTCTTCGGCGGTAGGTATCCCTGTAGGTCTTTTTCTGGAGCTACCACTCTTTCGAAGGTAAAGAAGGTATACAGACACAATCCATATTGTTCTACCAAGTAATGTTCTATTGTTTTTATATATTTCGAAAATACGTTCAATTAACTTTCGTATTTGTGCAACATTAACATTAGACGAAGCGTAAGGCGATGTAAAGTAATCGGCTAGTTTGGATAAGACACTAGGCATTTTCAAAAAGAAAGTCGAATTACAATAAAATCAAAAAAAACCCATTTGATATGTGGATATTCAATTGATGATCTATTGATCTTTTTGTGGCACAAATAAATGATAAGGATTGCTGACTAAATTTAAAGATGATCGATCTCGGAAGAAATTACTGCGCTTTGCCCGCAACCTAAACCCTAACCCTCTAATCTAATTTGTCATCGATAAAGATTGATAAAAGAACCTAACCTAATCCTAATTCTTAACCCTAATCCTATTTATACTTATTATAGCAAAATTTCTCTAATCTTATATCAAACTTCACGAATATTTTGTTTTGGACATTGAGAACAAAAACCAACTTTAGAATTCAGCTTTAGCTTTAACATATAAATTCAATGAATGCTTTAATATTATAAATATTAATAAAATAGTATTAAATATTAAGAATTTCTATTTTTGTTGATTCGGTTGTAAAACAAAATAGGCTTATTTCGACATATCATAAGACCTTGATTAACTTAGCAAATTCATTATTTGTTAGAAAGTTTTTAATGATTAGAAATCTAAAATTAATAAAAACAGTTGAGAATATTAATATAGTATTTATTTATTACCCTTGAAAATCCTTGAAAAATGATCTACAAAAATGATCTACAAAATGATCTACAGTCAATCAAAATTAAATTAATATAATTACTTAAAATGGTAGGTAGTAAAATGATATTAAAGTTTTATTTTATTTACTTTATTATATTCATGTTTTATAGTTTACTTATTATTTTATTTTTCTTTAAGAATAAATTTGAAAAGTATTGATCTTGTAGAAAATAAGTTATTTAATAAATAAATAGTTTAGTATAGATATGTTAATAAAAGTAATACTAGAGGTTAGAATCAGTTTTATTTTTACTAACTAATTTTATTAACCTTTTGAAGTTTTATTAAAATTGATTTAAACTGATTAATTAATTATATTATATCACAAAAAAAAAAGTTTTAAAAACTTTCGTTTTTAGTGGATGTTTGTTTAATATCATTACTTATACTGGTTTAGTTCAAAGATATTGCCAAAATCAAAAGATAATAGTTGAACAAAATGTTTGACTAATCAAATGTTAACACAAGCTCTAAATAATGAAACAGATAAGCGTTGAGTATGGTGGTTTAGAATTCAAAAAGCAAAAAGATATAACTATATATTATTACAAGAAAAGATAGCCTTTTAGCTAATAAATTAAAGGTACAAAGCTAAGACTGACTTGGCAGAATTCAATCAAGCCTGGATATTTAATCAATATCAAAAATGGAAAGCTTGAGAAATAAATTTGAGACAAATTATTTTAAGTTTATAAAACAATCCACTTAAAAATATGGCTATCTTACCAGAAGTTTTAAATGCAAGCAAATAACTACCAAGAAATCTCCTACTTCAAAGTCTGAAAGAAAAGTTGCTATTCCAAAAATTCAGTTTTAATTTTTCTAGCAAGTATAAAATCTATAATATCAGAATTAGTTCAATATATTTCTAAAGATATCCTTATAAAAGATTCTCAATTTATTAGTATCATATATAATAAATTAAAAGATTAAATTCTAGATTTTTACATAAAAAAATATTCTGTTAAAGGAAAGAAAAATACATAGGCTATTAACACAACTAAAATTAAAGATATTTTGTATTCAATAATTAAGATTACAAATGCCAAACAAAAGTTTTTTTTACAGATTCTATCAGAAGAAAAGTTAGAGCTATCAAATGAAACTGTAGATGTTATGGCTATACATGAAGTCGAAATGAAAACCCAAAAGTAGAAATGTTTCGACTTTGGAGGTCAAAGTCGAAATGAAAAGTTGAAATGGTCGAAATTACGTCATATCACATGATTTTTTATATATAGAAAAAACAAAAAA